CCCGGAGCGGCCAGCGGCCGCGTTCAGAAGGCAAAACGAGTTCGTCCCACACCAAAACCTGTGGCATCATCACCATCAGCAGCCGCGCTGTACTAACGACATGCAAAGTAAATTAAAAATAATCAACTCTCTCTAAACCCTCCTTTACGCCTCAAAAGCGAAAAAAAAAGAAAAAAGAAAAAAGTAAATACAAAATAAAGCAAACTTGCTGACCCAAAACAACAAATTAATTAACCGGGGCTAATCCAATAATTGTCGGTCGGCGGCGCTATTCTGGAGCGGAGCGCTTCACTGAGCCGTCCGGTCTGCGGCCTCCAGTTGAATATGGAGCGGACAGCCCCACCCCCCCTCCTCCCCTCTCTGTGTCTGTCTCTCTCTCACACAGGTCAGCCTGACCCCGAGCCGCCTATAGCCATGAGCAATGACATCTGATTCGCGGCGAGCGAGTCCTGTGTGACACTCCCCACCTGGTCAGGCGCGCGGTCACCGTGACCCCCCCTCTCATGTCATGCGGTGCTCTCCGTGGATGAGGTGTTACGGCGGCACAGGGAGGAAGGGGAAGGGGTCGCATCCTACGGCAGAGTATTATTTCATGTTTTGTTTTTACTCTCATTTTGTCCTATAGTCGTTTACATTGTCCTCTCTGTTCTCCCAACCCTTTCCGTACCGTTGTCACGTGAAGCGCGAAGTGGAATGAGAAAGAAAGAATTCAATATGACAGGAAAAGAAAACCACACGGAAAAAAAATGTTCCACCCCACCCGTTTTGATAATGCCTTTTATAGTCACACGCCTTATTCTCGCTGCTTTTGCTTGCTTCCGCGGTGGCAGTCGGAAATTGCAACTACTTCGGTGGGTTTAGGCCCCTAAAGCTCCATGAGGTGAGGTTTTCTGCCCCCCTCGGTCAGCACTTCGCGCGGGGAGGAGTTTGACGTCGCCAAGATGGATGTGGAGTCCTCCGGGTCGTTCGACTCAGTCCTCGACCCTCCCCCTCTCCCCCCTCCCTCCTCATCTCCTTCCCGTCGTCTCCGACCGTGATTCTGTCCAGGAATCTATGTCCTGGATGGGGATTCCCGGGGGCGTCACGCGAAAAATCGGGTCCCCGGTGTACAAAGACGTGTGGGATGCACGAGGGGCCGCAAAACGCCCCCGCCCCCCTTTCCTTTCCGACCCCTCTTCAACCCGTCCGCCTCGCTCCCCCCATCTGGGTGGAGATATTCCGTCATCACTCTGGAGCCAACGGAATCTCCCCGGCGCTACCGCAGCAGCTCTCGCCTCATAGCAGGTCGGGCTGGGCCAGGCCCGCAGCGCGGCGAAAAGAATACAGAGAGGGGTCCGCACTCCTCCGGAGAGGAATAAAGGTTATAGGCTTTGGCGATGTATTTTTAATCTTCTTTATTTTCGTTCTCTTTCACCTCCGCATACATGGTTTCGAGTATTCATTCACTCTCACAGAGATACGCATACACTCCTCGCTTCTGCTTCGGTGCACTCAATTGTGATATGTCTTAATAAGGATCTTTTTTCTGGCATTACACAATCAAGATCGTGAACAAAACTGGAATCGTTCTCTTTTAAAACAAAACATTTATGCAAAACTTTAGTTATGGTCTTGTGTTTTGTTCACTAACTCTGGAGGATATTGTTATGAAGTGCACTATGGCAGATATTTAATTTATTTTAGTTTTGTACTTTGAAGTTTTACTCTTAATCACTACCACTTTAAGAGCACAAAATTAAAATGTGCTGTTTTACTATGTAGGGAAACTATGTTTGATTTCATTTCTTTCAATTAAGTGTATCTTTCAGGTGCTAAAAGAATCGAGGGGGCCGCCACTTCTGAAATCATGTGTACGCCCTCCCTGAAATCCCCCCGAAATCATTTGAAATCCACCTGCAATCATGAAATCATGCGTAATCTGCCAGCAAATTTTAGTCTGAAATCCTTAGAAGGTTATGTAAAAACCGCCGGAATCACGTAGAATCCGCTGGAATCTTGTGAAATCCGCCGAAATCCGGTAAAATCCGCTGAAATTATCTGTAATCCTTCAAATCAGACATAATCTGCCGGCAGGTTGTAGCGTGAAATCTTCTAAAATAATATGCGAAATCCGTGAAATCATGTGAAATCACGCAATCTTTGCAATCATGTGTACATCCAAAGAGAGAGTGGTGGCCCCCTCGAAAAGAATTGTACATTGAAATAGAAAGATATGGAGGCTACAACAGAAAATTTCCCATCGGTCTCTTTCTTTACTTAGTGACTGATTGTCCGTTGGCGGTCAATACCTAGGTATATGTATATACCTATATGAATCTAAAGATACCCACATCACTACTTCTGTTAGAAAAATATGTACAAGACTGGTCAAGTGCGAGAGTTTGTATAGAAAGTAACATTATAATAGATTTTTCATTAACATGAAATTCATACAAGTTTATAAATATCGATGATAGTCAAAAATTTGACCTTTTAAGGAAGTACTTAAAAGGTATAGACATTTTCGTGAGAACTCCAACAATGGAGATTAACAAATTCAATTCATTGAGGGTATTTACATACTGTAAAGATTACATTCGCACAGCTTTACAGATACAATGCGGTGATCACACGGAAAATATATTATCCTCTTAAGTTTCATCACGTTTTTATTAAATACAAAAATTTCAGACTATTTTAGCTAAAATCGTTTATAACTAAAGTGATATTAAACATCATATCCCTACTACAACTGAAAAGTATGCATGTAAAAGAGACACAGATGAAGTACAGCCACTATATCACACCCTGTGACCGCACCCCGGAAGGGAGAAGGGCAAAGTGACATTACTCCGATAATAATAACGTCCAAGAATAAATTTGCTCCTCACGTAAAGAATTTGCAGGAAGACATAGACATACACAGGTAAAAATATTTTCGTTGGAAATCTTTCAAGTATAGAACGAAGAGCAGCCATAATATATCAAAGTAAATGTCAGAAATAAAACAAAAAGTGACAATCAAAATTCACTTGGCTTCTTTGGGAAATATTGAGCAGGAACTGCAAACCAGTAACAGGAGGGCAGAGCCATTTAGCAAAGGCTAGATAGACCCCATCAGCTGATCAAAATAAAATCAAACTTTTGCAAACTGACAAATTTTATAATTTTGGACCCCACTCATACTACCTAGTAATGAAAATTACCACAATTTTTTAACATTGCTTAATTTACTTATGTCTTGTCGAAAGTTTAAAATAAATTTTATGATGGAATATTCCGTACCATACCAATTATCCGTTTCAATAAACGGGAAAACGCTTAACGAGCCCGAGAAAAAAAGTTGTGGAAAGCAAAGACGAAAAATGAAGAAATGACTTAATCACTTGAACAATGACTGACACAGAGACTAGTAATTGAATGCAAAAGACACAATCAACGAGCTGGTAGTAAGAAGTGCACGGCTGACAGCTGAACGCTGGGGTTGATTGACCGAAAAACTATACAATATGAACATTCGGCGACCGGCATCTGTTACGTAGGTAACAAAGAAGCCTGCCGATTTTATTGCCTATTACACTAGGAGTTGGTGTGCTCCGTAAGAGATAACTAACTCCTTTGCATGCACCATCGCGACATCGCAGGTGCACGCGGCAGCAGAATCTGATTGATATGTACACATCTAAACTAGTCATTATATACAAAAGCACCATGGGTGGCCAGCAAAACGACGTGTTAATCTGCACTGATAAAAACAACTAAACGATAATGATAATCATAATTCTTTTCAAAAAACGGAAGGAAAATTAAAGCCTATAATAATTAGTTTAAACCTAACGAGTATCACATTTTCCTTTTCCCCTTCCTCTTCCATCATTTCGCGTCGACGACACGGTTCGCCGACGTGAGCAAAATGTCAGTGAGCACACACACGAACGCTCGCACTCTCGCACTCAGCCGCAGCCGGGCTCGTAGCCGAGGTTCTTCCGCTGCAGGAACAGGTGTATCTCGTGGAAGCGCGGGCGCGTCTCCTTGGCGCGCCGCCAGCACTCCAGCATCAGGTCGTAGATCTCCCGCGGGCAGAGCGGCGGCCGGGACAGCGCCCGCTGCAGCCCCGAGTCCTGGTACCAGTGGCTGCAGTTCTCCACCACCTGCTCCGAGGTGAGCTCGCAGAACGGCAGCTCGCGGCAGCGGCCCAGCACCTCCCACAGCGTCACCGCGAACGACCACACGTCGCTGCGCGGGCTGTGCTGGCCCTGCAAGCACCGGGAGACCGGGAGGGCGTGAGAACGAGATGTGGCGAGCTTTGAAAAGTCTTCAGTTTTTAAAAGTAACCTCTTTCTGTCACCGGTATTTTTTTTAAACTTAAAGGCGAGTTTAATGATTGCGGATTTAATATTCAAGAAGTACTTGAACACATATATCTTTGGTGTAATACTTGTTTGATTACTCTTAGTGCATTTTTCAAATTCGTGAAGTATTTGTAAAATGACAGCCGACTACTCACCAGCAGCAGGCTCTCCCAGGCCATCCACCGGATGGGGAGGCGCGAGCCCGTGTCGCTGCAGTAGTACTGCGGCTCGTACTCGTTGCAGAAGACGGCGTGGTCCGACACTTTGACTTGGAAATTGCGGCCCACGATGCAGTTCCTAAACAGCAGTTGAGTGTGTGTGTGAGCCATCCATGTCAACTAGATTTAGGCGTTCAGTCACTCAACCAACTCATCCACTGATAAACCAAGTGCGCACCTCCAAGTTGCGCACTTGCAGGAGTTAAACTCTGTGGAGATGCATTTTCACGTGCTCTTATTCGTAAGATGTGTACTTGTAAGCAAGTGTGCAACTCCTGTGCAGCACACTTTGTTCGAAGGGTTCGACAGACAAGTTGAACGCTTTCAAGTGCGCGAGAACTACATCGAGTTGAATGCAAAAAGTGCGCAACTTGGAGTTGCACACTCAGAGGTGTTTACCGGTTGCACACCTCCTGGTTTGTGATGCATTATTATCGCCGTAGTAAAACCTACCTCGCGGCCAGGTCCCGGTGAGTGATATCCAGCGACTCGAGGTGCTTCATGCCGGAGGCTATCTGCGTCGCCATGTAGATCAGACAGCCGTAACTGCAACAACGAGAGCGAAACAACGTTTACTGCCAAGCTTGCGCCCCGCGACTCCGCACCGCGCCAAAGCTACACAACTACCATTCGCGAGTCGCGAGCGGCACACAGGAAATTAGATCGGTTTTATGCGCGTATTGTATGCGCGCGTGCGCGCCGGAGAGGGCCTGGCTACGAGACGAAGGAATGACGTCATAATTCCAGGCCATCTTTGTCACGGAGATGTGGAGGGAGGGGGAGAGGGGGGGGCAGGGGAGCGGCAACAGCAGAGCACAAGGGGAGAAAGGGACCGTGAGCGGGACGGAGATTGTTCCCGTCACCCCCGAGGAGTCATCACCCCGCGATCCACATTTCCATGACGCGCTCCTTCGCCAGACCGCCTCCGTGTCCGCCGCCCCCCCGACAAGCAGCACAGGGTGAAGAGAGGCACCCCGCCGGCCCGGCCCGGGCGCGGCAGCAGCGATAGCGGCGTGTGGGTTCCTTTGAGCGCCACGCTACACTGGGCCAGAATGAAATGTTGTCGCCAGAAATACGGGGGAGGGTGTTTGGGAGAGAGTAGGGGGAGAAAGGGGGGTCACTCGCTTCACAGGGCACACGCACTACCATCCAAAGGGGTCGGTACGGGTCACGGGGCACTCCACGGTATAGGGACAGCGGCGGACGGAGACGGGACGGGCGGCATGGGGCGGCGGGCGCTTCCCAGTAGACACAGCGACGCACAGCAGCAAACCCCAGTGGCTGAAAGCAAGTTGTGCGAAATCATTCCAAACAGAATGTATGCAACTCCCGGGGACACTCCAAGGATAATAATTTACACACATGCGCGAATTGTCATTCATACACTTCGAAGTGTGTAGCATTCACACAGTTAAGTTTTCCGGGCATTTATGCGTAAAAGCGCTTGATTGTATCCACAAGGCCCGAGGATTTGTAGGACGACATGTATGTAGGATGAAAAACAGACAGCAGGAACGATATCGTCGAAACGACCCTCGAAAGCGTGTCGAAGTCAAAGTAGGGCTATCCCGCAAACCAGTAGCAACGACTTTGGTCGATAACACTGGCGCCAAAAAGGGCTTCAAGTGATGCGAAAGGCTGTCCTGTAATCAACATTTTCGTGTATATGAATAAGGACTCCGGCCGCAGCTGAACAAAGACCAAAGACTTCCAGCGAAGATACAGCGTCTCCAGGGAGAGGGCTCCAGCCATAGGGCCCGGCACCGGGGCTTCCAGAGTGAAGGGCAGGTCGCCCCGCCTGTCCTTGGCTAGGAGGGTTTAATCCCCCAAACAGGCAGGGGGGAACACCTCTGTCTCTCTCCAGTCACACAGAAGCCGACCAAGGCCCCTATCACTTTCACCGCGATAGTCAGCCGCTGATCTAATTGGGCGTCCGACACGAGGGCCGGGAGGCGACCTCCGCACTGCGCACGAGACGGCGACGGCTGTATCGTTTTGCTATCGTAAAAGACAGTAAATAAACTTCGCCCAAGGAAAGAACCACCTTGCGGCGCAGCTCAGACCAACCCCCACCTACCCACTTGGCCTGGTCCTCGTCGTGTTCTCTCTCTCCCTCTCTCTCCCTGAGTTATGAGTCGTGTCACGCGGTGCGGACTGGATATTGAAAGCCCGAAGTGGGGGGTGCCGGAGAGGAGAGGCAAGGAAGAGAGAGCGAAACGAAGGGAGGGAGGGAGG